AAAAAAAAAAAAAAAAAAAATCCAGACACCTCGATTAAGCATACTTCATACCAGAATTTCAAGGATGTTTTAACATTAGAAAAGCAATCAATATAATATACCACATAAATAAAACAAAGGAAAAGAACCATATGATCATATTAATTGATACCAGAAAGGCATTTAATAAAATCCAATATAGTTTCCTGATAAAAACCCTCAGAAGAATAGGAATAGAAGGGAAATTTCTCAACATAATAAAGGGCATATATGCAAAGCCAACAACCAACATTATTCTCAGTTGAGGAGATAAGAGGCCATTGTCATAGTACACATGAAAGCTCTGGGGTATACTGGGTTGATACCAGATTGAGGAGGCTATAGCCCTTGATGTATCTCTGGGTGTTTGGAAGACATTCTGCCCAGGAAAAGTCAGAATGGTCTTATCTCATATCCTGCTTCATGTCATGAGTTTGGCATAACTGATTTGACTTTCAGATAGGGCCAGGATTTCTTCAGAATTTCTAGAAAAGAAAATGCTGTTTTTGTGTAGTCCACTTGAAAATTCTTAAAACCTGTCCTCACGTTGTTGTAGGAACAGTGAGGTTCTTAGCCCTTGTCCTGCAGAGCCAATTATCACAACAGGTTGAAGTGGGAAAGCAAAAGTTTCAATACCCAAGGAGACAGAGTGAATCATTTATCTAAAAAGTCTGTCTCCCCAAGCTGGGAAATGGTTAGGGTTTTTAAAGATAATTGGGCTAAGGGGTAAGAAGGTTTGTGGAATGCTGGGAATGTGCTCTTCTCATTATTGGGATGAATTGTTGCCTTGTGACCTCTCTGTTCTTCTTCTGGGAAGTGATAGAAAGCTGTCCTTGGTCAAAGGAGAAAGTGTCCTTCAAGTTCCTTGTACCTGCCTAGAAAGGTTAACTCTACAAGAAGGGGAGAATATGGGAGTGGGCACCCTCAGGCCTCTCGGTCCACCAGGGATGTCTCTGTTTCTCCTTTATCTTGGTTGCTGCAAGCTCAGAGTCTCCATTCTCGGGGTCATCTCACTCCATAAAGTGCAATTACCAGCTACAAATGGGCAGTGAGTTTTAGTCAAATACCCAAAGAAATAACAAGCTAAAGTAACTATCCTATTCATGTGAAAGGAAAGAAGGAATGAAAGAAAAATAGTTAATTATTGTGGTTAATGTTTACTCTACTCATAGTTATTAGTTTGTTATATTTCTGCCAGTTTTGAGCACACAAAAAGGCTTCTCTGGCCCTTCAACAACATGATTCTTTCCGTCTAGCTCTGCTTGTTCGAGAATCTACTTCTCCAGGAGAGGAATCCAGAAGAGGACTGGTCAGTTCTTGGAATTTTAAGTCATGGCCCATGTGAGTTGGCATATAACCATGTGAATATCTATATTCCTTGTCCTCAAATTGTTTACCTGGGTATTCAGTGTGTTAAGTGATGGTTGTGAAACATTCCAATGCCTTGCTTAGGTGTCCCTCTTCTTCCCAACCAATGTTTCCCAATCTGCTCACCAGGCATGCTGTATCTCCTGTGTCCTGAGTCTCCTGACATCATGTTTGTTAAAGTAGAGTGTCAGTGACAAAGAGGAAGACCCTCAATGAGATAGATTGATACAGTGGTTGCCACAGTTAAGCTCAATCACAGCAATGATTGTGAGAATGGTACAGGACCAGGCAGTGTTTTGTTCTGTTGTACATAGGGTCACTTTCTCAATTACCTAATGCTGCTATAGCAGCAATACCAAGAGTGAATGACGTTAACGAAGAGAAATTTATTTTCTTACACTTTAGGAGGCTGGAAGTCTGAATTCAGGGTGGCAGCTTTAGGGGAACGATTTCTCCATCAACTCTGGGGGAAGGTCCTTGTTTCTTCACCTTCTGTTTCCTGGTTCCTTGGAGAGCTCCATAAGGCTTGGCATCAATTGTCCCTCATCTCTACTTTCCTTCACTTGCTTGTTTAATCTCTTCTATCTCTAATAGATTGATTTAAGACATGACCTACACTAAATCTGAGACATTAACATAACATAATCCAAAGTAATGTAACATAATACAAATGGATTCTAATTACTAGCATAGAGGTTAGAGTTCACAACCATATTTTTTGGGGACACAATTCAATCCATAACATTTGGTATCAGTTGGAACCAACTCAACAGTAGCTACAACAACAAAGGAAATAATAGACTTCTTTGTCAGAATTGTGCCTTAACAAGGTGGGATTGAGTGGTCTAAGGGCTCATACACATGAAAGCTTTTATTTGCTCTGTAGAATGGAATTTTCCAATTAGTCAAGATGAGATACGGTGTTGGTTGATATTCATTCCTGTGTGTGACACTCTGTGAACTTTTAGTTAGCATATATGTGAAGTTGAGTTCTGAGTGGAGGGTTAAGAATTTGGCCTTTATCCTGGTTCCTCTAATGTAACCTCTAAACCCTTGGAATTTCCAGAATGATTGGAGTCTCTTGGTTACTCATGAGATCTCTAGACCATACCAGAGAGCTTATGCTAATGAGGTGACTCATATTGGGGTTGGGTGGGGGCTGGCGGAACCAGAAAGACCAATCTCCAGGAAGGGGAAGGGGACTGAAGATTAAGTTCAACCATGATTCAGTCAAATCATACTTACCTAATAAAACCCCAGTAAAAACTCTCAACACTGAAGCTCAGGGGAGGTTTCTGGTTGGTGATTGACACTGATGCATCTCTGTGTATGCAGAAACAGTGGTGGGGACCTCTTAGATCTCAACCTATACATCTGTTCTTTATGTTGATCCTGATTTGTGTCCTTTTAAATAAAACTATAGTTGTTAAATACAGCTTTTCTTTACTTCTGTGAGTCATTCTAGTGGATTATCAAACATGAGGGATCCTCTAAATTTGTAGTCACTATATCAAAAGAGCAGGTGTCCTGAGGACCCCCAAACTTGTATCTGGCTTCCTGAGGGATAAATGGTAACCCCAACATTTGTAGCCAGTCATTCAGAAGTGCAGTGTCCTGGGAATCCCAGATCTTGCAGCTGGTGTCTGAAGTCTTGGGCAAACTTAGCAGTCTAGTGGTTGTTAGATGCTGTCAAGTCGGCTCTGACTCATAGCAACCCTATGTACAATAGAATAGACTACTGCCCGGTCTTGTGCCATCCTCATAGTCCTTGCTATGCTTGAGCCCATCATTGCAGCCACTGTGTCAGTCCTTCTAGTTAAGGCTCTTCCCCTTCTTTGCTGACCCTCTACTTTACCAAGCATGATACCCTTCTCCAGCAAATGGTCCCTTCTGGCAACATGACCAGAGTAGGTGAGACGTAGTGTGGCCATTCTGACTTCCAAGAAACATTCTGGCTGTACTTCTTCCAGGACAGGATATCAATTTAATTTTTGACAACTTCCAATTTTCCTAAATTCATACTTCATACATTCCATGTTCCAATTATTAATGAATGTTTTCAGCTGTTTCTTCCCATTTTGAGTCATGATCCATCAGTAAATGAATGTCGTCAAAGCTTTACTCCATCCACATCAGTAAGGTTGACTCTACTTTGAGGAGGCAGCTCTTCTCTAATTGTATTTTGCTTGCCTTCTAACCTGAAGGGCTCGTCTTCTGGCACTATATCAGGCACTGTTTCATGGTTATTCATAGTTTTCCAGTAATATATCAGATAGTGTTTTACTGTTATTCATACATAAGGTTTTCATTGGCCATTGTTTCTAAAATAGATGGCCCATCCTTCTTCCCAGTCTGCCTGTCTGGAAGCTCTGCTCAATCCTGTCCACCATGGGTGACTCTGCTGGTATTCACAATACCATTGGTGTAGCCTCCAACCACCCCAGTAGGTCATAAGGATGTTTTTATTGGAGTAACTAGAGCTCTGGTAGCATAGTGCCTAAGGCACTTGACTGCTAACCAGAAGGCTGGCGGTTCAAACCCACCACCCACTCCTTGGAAGGAAGGTTGGGTAATCTACTTCTGTAGTGATACCACCTTGGAAACCCAAGGAGGGGTCGCTATGAGTCGGGTCCAACTCGATGGCACATAACAACAACAAGAAGAGTTTTTAAGAATGTGGTGGCACTCAATTTCAGTCACATCAATATCCATGACATTTTCCCCAGTGCTACAGTCAGCCAGCTCCAGATTGTTTGCTCACTGTATATCCCCTTACCTGCAGTGCCATTTTCCATCTTACCCCTTCCATCTAAAATATTTCTTTCAATTTCACAGTTAATAGCTGTATTTGTTATTTTAGGAGTTGGTGATGTTCAGGGATGTGGCCATATACTTCTCCAAGGAAGAATGGGAGTACCTGGACTTGGAACAAAGGGATTTGTATAGAGACGTAATGTTGGAAAACTACAGCAACTTGGTCTCGCTGGGTAAGATTATCTCCCTCTAAGTGATTTAGAATTTGACTCCAGAAATTCTTGTTTTCTACATTGTGAATTTTTGAGTTGTGTTTCAAGTGGCTAGTGAAATTCTGGCCTCTGTTTCTGGAAAAATTGTCTGTGCTTTGTAAAGTTGGCAGTAGTCATCATCTTTGGAAACCCCCATCTTCCCTATACTTTCCCTTCAGAAATCCTTTATTCCTCCCTCCTCCTTCCTGTAATTATGTATCTTCCTTAATAACAAAATGACTAGGTATAAATTTTGAAACCACATGGTTATTTCCTGTTTCTTGTCTCCTGAGCAGGACTTTGCATTCATCAGCCACATGTGTTCTCCTTATTGGAGAAAGGGAAAGAGCCTTGGATGGTTTTGAGGGATCAGACAAGAGGACTTTGCTCAGGTGAGTGCGGGCTTCATAGGCAGAGGAGAGGTTATCTCCAGGCCAGTTGCTTAGTGTGGCAGCAACACCTCTGAGATATGAATCTGGAATCTCTTTTCAAAGACCAAAAATTGTGGATAAAGACCTGAGACCTAGAGATGAAAATAATCTTTTCAACATGAATTTCTAAAAGAACCTTCCTTTACCTCTAAATAACATTCCTTTTTTGTGTTTCCATTTTTCCCTCATGTTACAAAAATGTAAATGTCATTTTGTTTTCTGTAGTGGTTATTATTTATTTAATTATTTCTTTTGTATTGTGATTTGGGCAAAAGTTTACAGAGAAAATTGGTTTTCCATTCAACAATCCATACACATTCCATTTTGTGACATTTGCTGCAATCCCACACTGTAACAGCGTTCTTCCTACTTCTCCCTGCACCCACAACTTCCTTTTGTTATTCCTTCCCATACCCTCCCACCTTCTGAGCTCTATCCCTGGGCAAATGCTGTCCTCTTGATGCCATATGCTTGATTGTTCTAATGAGTACATACCCGCTACTCACTGCTGTGGAGTCAAATCCAACTCATAGCGACCCCTTCTTGGGTTTCCAAGGTAGTGTCACTACGGAAGTAGATTCTCCAACCTTCCTTCTGAGGAGTGGCTGGTGGGTTGAACTGCCAGCCTTCTGGTTAGCAGTCACATGCCTTAGGTGCTATGCCACCAGAACTCCCAACCAAAACCCAACTCACTGCAGTCATGTTGGATCTGACACATAGCAACCCCTCCTTGGGTATCACGTCAGAAGTAGATTGTCTAGTCTTCCTTCTGAGGAGCTGCTGATGGGTTTGAACCACCAGCCTTCTGGTTAGCAGTCAAATGCTTCAGGTACTAAGCCACCAGAACTCCTCTCAATGAGTACATAGTCTCCTAATATTACTGTTCACCTTATAGGCCTCTCTGTCATTTGGCTGCCAGTAGAGTCATGGGGGTTCAGTTCGGTTCCTAGCTGGAAGGATGTCTAAGGGCCATAGTCTTGAGAGGTCCCACCCATCAGACCAGTAAGCCTGATATTTTTTATAATTTTGAGTTTTGTTCCACATTTTCCCCCACACTCTCTAGTACCATTTATTGTGATTCCTTTCAGAGCAGTCAGCAGTAGTACCAGGGCACCATCTAGTTCTGTGGTCTCAGGGTAATGAAGGGTGGGATTCATGTACTCTGTTAATCCTTTGAACTAATTTTTTCCTATATCTTTAATTTTCTTAATTCTTTGCTTCAGATGGGAAGAAACCAATAGTTGGACCTTAGATGGCCACTCACAAACTTTAAAGACTCCAATCACAGTGCACCTCAGTAGGATGTATGTAGAACATTATATTTGTTGACTATGTTATACCAGTTAACTTTGGTCTCTCCCAAGACTGTGGTCCCTCAGGGTGTTTGGTTATGACTAAGACAATTTCATGTCTTTGCCCCCTGTATGCTCTACCACATTCCTGAACATATTTGCAGGCCATATAAATATATATAGGTAAAGATACCCAAAAAATAAAAAAAAAAAAAGTCCTATCAAGTTGATTCTGACTCACAGTGACTCCATAGTATCAAAGGCTATAAATCCTTGTGGAAGTAGGTTGCCTCATCTTCCTCCCACAGAGCATTTGGTGAGTTTGAACCACTGGCCTTCTAGTATTACCCACTGCACCACCAGAGCTCCTTATAGGTAGAGGTAGCCTCTGTCAAATCTGTATATATTTGTGGGTGTAGTCC